TCCTGACCGCCCTGGCAGCGCTGCTGCTGCTGGCCGCAGCCCGCGGGACCCGGGACCCGGACGTGCTGAATCCAGGTGAGCGCGGAGTAGTGCAGGAGGCGCACGGGGAGATCGGGACAGGGGCTGGGGCAGGGGGACATTGCAAAAGTGGGCTCAGGGCGCGAGGCTCACGGAGCGATCAGGGCAGGGGACAAGGCAGGGAGAGATTGGAAAAGTGGCTCAGGACAGAGCAGGGGGCGCATGGGGAGATCGGGGCAGAGCAGGGAACACACGGGGAGATCGGGGCGGGGCTGGACAGGGGGCACCCGGGGAAGTCGAGACAGGGGAGCACGGGAAGATCAGGGAGGGGGTGCATGGAGTGATGCAGGACGTGAGGAGAAGGTAAGGAGGAGAGATGGGGCAGGGGCGCGCGGGGAGATCAGGGCAGGCGGCAAGGCAGGGAGAGATTGCAAAAGTGGCTCAGGACAGAGCAGGGGCCGCATGGGGAGATCGGGGCAGAACAGGGAACGCACGAGGAGATTGGGGCTGGGCAGGGAGCACACAGGAAGTGGGGCAGGGAGAGAACAGGGTGGGGCTGTGCAGAGGGTGCATGGGGTGATGCAGGACACAGGATGTGAGGAGGGTACGGAGGAGATCAGGGGCACAGGGAATGATCTGATCCGGACAGAGGACATAGATTGTGTGGGTGGCATATGGGGGACTAGGAGCCACAGCAGTGGGTGCAGTGGGGAAATTGGGGCAAGAGATGGATGCTCTAGGTGGTGGGACAGGGGCATTCACCTTTGGGAGGAGCACTCCCACATCGGGTGGAGGGAGGCAGTGGTGCATATGTAACCACCACCAGGGGCATTTGAACTTGGGCCCTCTGGAGCTTAGTACAAGAGCCGCTACCCTCTGAGCTAAAAGCCAGCTGCCTTTCAGCCCATGCTGTAGTCCTCTCTTGTTCTTATCTGTTGCTGTAGTCTAGGTGCTACTGCATGGGACAGTGAACTACACTAGGTGTCTGGGTTACACATGCAGGGATTGGGCGTGTGCTGGGGGACCCACTGGAGACACACAGGAGTTGCAGGGGAGCTGACCCCAAAGCCAGTGGAGATCCCAAGGTGGGGGGCCCGCAGTGGTTGAGGAGAAGCCGGAGGTCAGGGTCTCTCTGGTGGAGGAGCAGAGAGACCCCGGGCCAGAGGCTGGCTGAGGCCAAGCGCTCCTGTGTGCCCATGGGCAGAGGAGCACCTGAGAGCAGGGAGCAGGCACACAACCTGCTGTGGAGGAGCTGGAGGCAGAGGGGGTCCCCTTTATGGCACCGTGGCGGCCAACCCATCCCCCACTGCTGCATAGGGGCAGAGGGAACTCACAGGCTGAAGTGGGGGTTCATGCTGCCGATTGCCTTGGGGACCTCTCAGCTGTTGGCTTGTCTGAACATAGACACCCCTCCAGAGGCACTGGGGCTCCTGTGGCTTTCCTGCCTCCCAGCCCTAGCCAAAGACCCTGCTCCCCACTATGCCCCGTGCTCAGAGGGGATGTAAAATCCTGTTTAATTGGTTACCCAGTTACATTCAATCTTGAATTGATTAAAGGGGAACAGGTGAGGGGGCCAGCCCCTGTAGTCTGGCCAACATGCCACTGCCTGCTGTGCACCCACAGGCCGGCTGCGCACCCACAGGCCTGCCGCAGACAGGAACTGCTGTGGTCTGGAGCACCCCTGTGTGCTACACTCAGGGAGCTGCGCCTGTCCCCACCACTTAACTGGAACCAGTTAACCATTCACATCCCTGCTCCCCACCCAGAGCCAAGGATAGAACCTAGGAGTCCTGGCTCCCGACTCTCTGCCTGCCTCAGGCTTAGGCCAGGCCGCTGCCCAGGAGAGGGTCAGAGTAGGGGGGTGCCCACGCAGCCCTTTCCCAGAATCCTGGGAGGCTTGGCCACACACAGGGGTGTCCTTTTGCTCAGGGTGGGGATTTCACATGATCCCCCAACTGCCAGGCACTCCCTGGCTGCCAAGCCCTACTTAGCCTGCACAAAATGGGGTGAGCCCTTCTCTGGAGGCTGCAGGGCGCCCTGTGCCAGGATCAATGTTCCCTCTAATTTTTTCCATCCGGGGTGGAATAAATTCTGTTACACGCACCAAGGTATGTGTGGGTGTGCACCACCGGTAGAAACCCCTGCTGCCATCTGTGGGCACTCTGCTAATCAGCTGGGCAGCACCCAAATTTCTCCTGGGTGGCTCCGTCTCCTTCCCAAGCCCAGCACCAGTCCTGGCACGGGCACCACCATCTGCTTATTGTTAGCTGCCTGGCAAGGGCTGTGTGCTGGTAATTTGTTGTGATTGTTCTCGCGTAGGACAGTAACAGCTCGACTCCCAGCCTGAGAGCACCCCCCGGCGTGCCACACGCCACCTGTCTGCAGCCCAGAGCCGGGCTCCCAGGCCTGGCATGCACCCCCCACCTGCAGCCCAGAGTGGAGCTCCTGGGTGTGCCAGCCCACATATAGAGTCCTCTGCCCCCCAAGCGAGATCAGGGCCCCATCACACTGGGTGCTGGCCAGACCCTCCCGGGCTTTTCTCATGGGCTGGCAGGGGCTGGGGGGAGAGCTCCCCCTGTTGGAGCAGGGCAGCACAGTCACAGCCCTGCTCCCCCCTGGGTCCCAGGACCCTGTATGAGCCGCTGGGGGCAGCAGAGCCTCTGTCTCTCTCCGTGGCGGGGCAGGATGCCAGGAACAGGGGCGTGGCACAGGGCCAGCGCATCAGCTGCTCTCCTGGGCTCCAGCATACGTTTCCCTCCTACTCCCCCACTCTCCTTCCAGAGCCAGGGAGAGAACTCTGGAGTCCTGGCTCCCGGCCCTCCCTTGCTTTAACCCAGCAGCCTCCACTTCCCTCCCAGAAGTGGGGAGAAATCCAGGAGTCCTGCCTCCCAGCGCCCCCTGCTCCTATCACCAGATCCCACTCTCCTCCCAGAGCCAGGGAGAGAACCCAGGAGTTCTGGATCCCAGGGCAGCTCCTGGGGGGTACCACAAGCCCCCCTCCTTTATCATCTCTCCATTGGCCTGGTCTCTGTGGCAGAAATTCCCTGCAGGGACAACAGCCCTACCACAGTCCCAAAGAGGGAGCCCCCCCAGGAGGCTGAGGGTGGATGGAGGAGTGAACCCCAGGGCTGTGGGTGGCTGGGAGGCAGGGATGCATAGAGCCAGGCTGGGGTCTATGGCAGGCACTAACCAGACCCGGGATCTCTCTTCCCCATAGACAAACTGCTGGTGATCACCGCTGCCACGGAGCAGACGGAGGGATACATGCGGTTCCTGCGCACTGCCCGCTACTTCAACTACACCATCAAGGTGAGACAGACTCACGCCCCACCCCAGAGCTGGCTGCATCCCAGCCCTGGGCCAGAGTCCCTGTGTAACCGGCCACCTCATCCCAGAGCTAGCTGCATTTCAGTGCCAGGCGAGGGGTCCCTGTGTAACCAGCTGTCCCACCCCAGATCCAACTGCATCTGAGCCCTGGCCCAAGGGCCCTTTGTAACCAGCCCCGTGCCCCACCCCAGACCTGGCTGCATCCCAGCCTGGGCAGGCATTCCCCAGGTCTGAGCATACCGGGGTCTCTCTCCCTCACGCCCCTGTCCCTGCAGACCCTGGGCCTGGGCGAGGAGTGGCGCGGAGGGGATGTGGCCCGCACGGTCGGGGGCGGGCAGAAGGTGCGCTGGCTGAAAGAGGAGATGGCGAAACACACAGAGCAGGAGGATCTCGTCGTCATGTTTGTCGACAGGTAGGGTGGGGAGGTGGCTGGTGCCCCACTCCCCTTCCCGCGTGGGGCTCCGTGTCTTCAAGCCTCAGGGTACACCCTGGGGGATCCCCTCTCTGTGCACTGCCAACCCCATGATCCTGCTCTGCTGGAAGCAGCGTTTGGGGCTCTGGGCTGGGGGGGATATTTTGGCGGTGCACTGGGGGCTGATGGTTTCCAGGGCCTGCCTGGACCCAGAAGAGGGACCCCCCTGCAGCTGGGATGTGGGCGTAGCTGCTTCGACAAGGAGCATAACAGCAGGTGCCCCTGCCTTGCTGGGCACAGGTGCATTGGGAGGTGGGGGGCTGGTCAGGGAGGGACCCAGCTCCGACCCACCTGCTGTCTTGGGGTACCAGGCCTTGGCTGGTGGCGCAGAGCTCACTTTGCCCTTTTTGGTGGTGGAGGGGAGTAGCGACTAGGCCAGGTGGCCCCTGGGATCCATACACAGCCCTGTGCCCCACTAGGGAGCACCTCAAGGTTCCCAGGACATGGTGGGGGGCCAGGGGATGGCTAGGGGGTATGTTTCCTCTTTGTAGCCTCTGAATTTGCCCTGGGGGTGTAGTGGGGAGAAAGGGCTTGGGGGGGCATTGATGGTGCAGGGGTGCTCTGGGCTGTACCATTCCCCAGCGGGAATCAGCCTGACCCCTCCCCAGTGACAGCGTGGGACTAGCCGGAGGCCCCCCCAAAGCTCTGGGGGGTGCAGTGCGGGCTCTGGGGATGCAAGGGGCTCTGGGAGTGAAGGGAGGGCTTTAGGGGGTGCAAAGGGGCTCTGGCCTGGCTCATTCCCCAGTGTGTCTCTGCACCCCCAGTTATGATGTGCTGCTGGCCAGTGGGCCCGTGGAGCTGCTGCGGAAGTTCATGGCATTCGACAGCCAGGTCGTATTCTCGGCTGAGGCTTTCTGCTGGCCTGAGTGGGGCCTGGCCGAGCGGTACCCCCCCGTCAGCGCCGGCAAGCGCTTCCTCAACTCAGGAGGTGAGGGGGGGAGGGGGAGGCACAGGGATGTAGGGGGAGGATGGGGGCAGGGGCAGGAAGAGAGCAGGAGGATGGGGGAAGGGTCAGAGGCAGGGGTATGGGTGGGGGTGGGAGGGTGCAGCGTGGGATGGGAAAAGCTGGGGGATATTGTGGGTCCAGGGGGTATGTGTGGGAGTGCCCTGGGCAGGAGGAAAGTGGCATAGGGCCTGTAGGGAGGGCATTGGTGCTGGTGGGAGAGGGTGGTGTGGTGTCTAGGAGGGGCAGCAACTGCGAGGCAGGGACCTCTCCGCCTGCCACCAGGTTTCATCGGCTTCGCCCCGGCCATCCACCGTGTGGTCCAGCTCTGGAAATACAAGGACAACGACGATGACCAGCTATTCTACACCCGCATCTATCTGGACCCTGGCCTGCGGGTGAGTCTGGTGGCGGTGCCCCTACTGCCCTTTCTCTGCCCCCCACATCGGCACTGACCTCAAATTCTTGTCTCCAAACAAGCCCCGTGGGACCCTGGTTCCTCTTTTTAGGGAGGTTAAAATAAGGTTAATTTGCTAATCGAGTAGTTGATGGAATTTTTATTGACCAACCAAGTAGTCGATAGGGGAAGGCTTGCGCACCGGTCCGAGACCAAACCTCCTGATGAAATGCATCCTAGAATACTCAAGGAGCTGATAGAGGAGGTATCTGAGCCTCTAGCTATCATCTTTGGAAAATCATGGGAGACAGGAGAGATTCCTGAAGACTGGAAAGGGGCAAATATAGGGCCCATTTATAAAAAGGGAAATAAGAACAACCCAGAAAACTACAGACCAGTTAGTTTAACTTCTGTGCCAGGGAAGATAATGGAGCAAGTAATTAAGGAAATCATCTGTAAACACTTGGAAAGTGGCAAGGTGATAGGGAACAGCCAGCGTGGATTTGTAAAGAACAAATCATGTCAAACCAATCTGATAGCTTTCTTTAATAGGATAACGAGTCTTGTGGATAAGGGAGAAGCTGTGGATGTGGTATACCTAGACTTTAGTAAGGCATTTGATACAATCTTGCATGATATTCTTATCAATAAACTAGGCAAATACAACTTAGATGGGGCTACTATAAGGTGGGTGCATAACTGGCTGGATAACCGTACTCAGAGAGTAGTTATTAATGGT